ATACAAGATGGCTGTGGAACACATGTCGTTGTAAAATATGTACAAAATAAACCATTTTAAACACTATTTTTTTATTATTTATCAAAAACATATATAGTTCTGGCATAAACAATGTTAAATTTTAACTGACTTAATTTTGCAAATGCATCTTTTTTATTTATTGGGTATGTAAAGGTCAGTTTTTGCGCAAATGTTGCTAATGCACCATTTGAACAAAAAAAAAATTATTAAGGAAAAATTTTCTGTTAGCGAACCCTTTGTTAAATATTTCGAATATCACCACTGTCTGTTCCTACTATTCTTATATTCAGACTTACCCAGTCTCATTGGATGAAGAAAGTTGCTAGTCACATGATCAATAGTATGTAGGTGGTGGTAATGTGATAAAATTGTCTCACAGTTAGTACCATTTAATACCATATAAAATCCTAAAAAATTTTTCAATGGGGATTTGTTCTACTTAAAAAAAGATTTTTTACAGGAAAAATTTGGAAATTGTATTTTGAAGTTTTTAATCTAAATAAAAATTCCTTGTTGAGAATTTTAACNTTCTAAATTTTTGTTTTTGTTTTGGATTCTGAAAATACAGTTGAAAAAAATTTTAAATAGTCAACTTTATGAGGAAATAAATGATAGTTAGATCAAAAAGTATTTTTTATCATCAGTAACATTTTATGTACATGTATATTTAAAAAAAAATTTAGTTAAAACTTTTCTACCCAAATAAGAGTAAAATGTATATACAAATAATAATATCGCAAAGCCCGAATAGTATATAATAAATCAGACAATCGCCTAAATATTGGACTATAATATGGTTAATTAAATGATTGGTATAAAGTAATTTGACACTAGACGTAGATGTTAGGTGCCATCTCTTAAGTAAATTAATAATTATTATTAAATAAATTTAGAACCCTCTGGAATAAAAGAACTGGCCCGGGAAATTTAGAACCTTTTATTCCAGAAGGTTCTAAATTTATTTAATAATTTGTTTATTTAATTATAATTATTAATTTATTTAAGAGATGGTGCCTAACGTCTACCTCGTGTCAAATTACTTTATACCAATCATTTAATTAGCCATATTATAGCCCGATATTTAGGCAATCGTCTGGTGATTTATTATGTAAAATGTATATTTGAGAATGTAGACCATATCTCTATTTTAAACAGCTTTCACATCTCCATTTTAACAGTTTTCATTTACATACTGTTTTCATGGAACCAATTACTCTCAAATGGAGGGATCACTGTACAGTGGGTGATCGGTTAACGAACATAATCCGTTCCAAGACTTTGTTCATTAATCAATTATCAATTTACCATAGGTTTTAATGGGAATTTAATTAATTCGTTCTGGAGACCTCCAAAAATAAAAAATATATACTTTCTTACTATGTTTATTTATATGTAATAATAAAAATACATATGTACACAGTCTTGCATTTTTATTAGTCATTTTTTTTTCCATTTGAAAGGGTTAAAGAATCTGTCTAATATCGATTGNTGGAGACCTCCAAAAATAAAAAATATATACTTTCTTACTATGTTTATTTATATGTAATAATAAAAATACATATGTACACAGTCTTGCATTTTTATTAGTCATTTTTTTTTCCATTTGAAAGGGTTAAAGAATCTGTCTAATATCGATTGCTCTTCTCTCTTCTTCAGGATTTTTCGTAAGTAATTAATAGCATTGCAATTGTAGAAATCCCCAAGCTTCAACCTGGTTTGGATGCCATTCTAAGACCATCATTCTGACATCCTTCCACTTCTTCAAAGGATCTTTAATAACAGATATCAGCATTAATCCTCTTTTTCATAAGAAAACACATCTCGCCAAGTTTCTTGGTGTTCTTCTGTCGTCAGATCCGTTTCAGGTTCCATTATGAACTCTTCGATGTTCTTTATTTCTCAGATGTGATTTTTGTTACTCCTTTAGCTGCTTGAGTCTTCTTGATTATACAATATTTTTCTTAAATAAGATTGAACTGTGGCCTACTGTNTTCTTGGTGTTCTTCTGTCGTCAGATCCGTTTCAGGTTCCATTATGAACTCTTCGATGTTCTTTATTTCTCAGATGTGATTTTTGTTACTCCTTTAGCTGCTTGAGTCTTCTTGATTATACAATATTTTTCTTAAATAAGATTGAACTGCGGCCTACTGTAGACCTGTTCAAACCATACTGCCCAGCAACAACAAACATCAGACATCTGCCCACTCTCTACCTTTGCTATTATACTCTCACCTTTCGAAAAGAAAACAGACGCAAAACTGAACGAGTGCCTACCCGACAGTCTCATGAATACATAAAAGAATTGTTTTGTCAGAAAAATAAAAGGCTGGAATTACAAGGGAGAGATTCAAAGTTTGTTAGAATACTATCCGAACAGTATATACCAGGTTGAGCGTCGATGTCTCCCACACTCCAAAAAGTTTCGAATTGTTGCCTGAAGAGACAAGGGAAGACCAATCGGTATTCACTATTTTACATCGCTGCTTCTTGTGTTTGTTCTGTGGCGTGTTTGCTATCCAATCATGTGTTTATTGTCTGAACATAAAAATCTTTTTCACGAAAGTGTTCGTTATTCGATCTGTTCATTAACTGATCACCCATTGTACTTTATTCATCAATGTATTGAATTTTCAAACTTTTTCAACAATATATATGAAATTTTTATTGGTTTACTCAGAACAATCATTGTAATCGGAATAATTATTTGTAATAATAATTATCAGTATTTAATTTTATGGTTAATTTTTTTAGAAGCTTTTTGTGAAAAGAAGTATTGTAAGATATATGTGTACTTTTTTTATTAGGTATCGAAAATTGGCTTTAAAATGGCATCCTGATAAAAATCCAGATAGAAAAGAAGAAGCTGAACGTAGATTTAAACAAATTTCAGAAGCTTATGAAGTACTTTCTGATGGTAATTACATTCTTAATTGATATTTCTAACATTTGGAAAGGATTTTTGCAACACTTTATTTATATAAAAATTGGGTAATACAGTACATAAACATTGCTTTAATAACTCCATTTCCAAAATCTTTTTTATTTTAGTGATATAAATCATGTAATTTTCTAAATAAAAAAATTAAAATATAATAATAAAAATTACTATGGATAACCTGCAGTAGTACATATTGTGCAGAAAATTTCTAGAATAGAAATAGAACTTTTACATGACCCACCCCCATCATATGCCCTCTGTTTCCAGTGCTGCTATTGAAAGCATGACACTGGTAGACATTTTAGAAGTTATCATCTCAAACATTAAAATATTATTTTCCTACTGTAGTTCATAGTAGAAAAATAGTAATTTAAATTTCACTAGTAATTTAAATTACTTTTATAAATTAACATTTTATAAATCTCCTAACACAAAGTTTAGGAGATTACCTCTCCTAACTTTGTGTTGGACACACAAAGTTAGGAGAGGTAAACTCCTAAACTTTGTGTGTCCAAGAAACGTGCATCCTGAACAAAAAAAAAAGTATTTTTAATTATATTGCTTCATTTCTACTTTTATACATCAAATAATAATTAACATTTATTAACATATAGTTTATTAAATAAACTTAGAAAAACTAAATAGAAAATACAGTAGAGTGTCATTTATCTGAATTAATTGGGGACTGAGGTTGTTCGGATAACTTATTTTTTGGTTAATCGATTATGTACAAAAAAATATATTAACCTAGCCCATGTTGAAATTTTTCTACATTGCATGTCGCTTCGCGTTGAATTTTTGTCTATGTTAAGCCTAATGTAAACTTTTTAAAATAATAAACATGGCTATTGTATCGTTAAAAATTATTTCTTTATTTTGTACAAACAAAATAAATATATTGAAAAATATAAAAACAAAAAAAATTATACTTTAGAAGTTAATCTAGTATCAAAAACATTCGATTCAACACGACACACAGTCCTCAGAAAAACACCACACAAAAGTGCTAGTGCTGCCAGCTAAAACACATACACAAACATAAAAAATATTGAAGTAGCCCAAGACATAGCCAAAGATTGCAGCGCCACAGCACTAGCAAAAATTTAAATTTGCCAACTGGAATTATTTCGGATAACCGACTTTTGGATAAACGACGCTGTGCTGTAATTTTAATATCAATAATATCCAATGATATATACAAGAACTTGTATTTGTAATGATATATACAAGAACTGTAGCACAGGTCAACAAAAAAAAGTTTTTTTTTTTTTGTGCCTAGGATTTTAGAACTGATTTTAGCTATATTTGGATCGCTGAATCCAAGTATGAAATCAGTTTTTTTCTATCAGCTCTACTTTTTTAGATCTGTGTTTTTTTAACGTACAGTGCTACTTGAAATGTGCAACTCTAATTCCAATNTCGCTGAATCCAAGTATGAAATCAGTTTTTTTCTATCAGCTCTACTTTTTTAGATCTGTGTTTTTTTAACGTACAGTGCTACTTGAAATGTGCAACTCTAATTCCAGTTTGTACAGTTCTAAATCACATATACAAGAATTGATTCCTGTATATTTTCCCCATTGTTCGTCTGCCGTCCAGTTAGTTTCAGGTAAATCCATCAAATGAAGCAAGCATTCGGTAACGAATTGACATTCAATGCTTCAACTAGAGTTGAGGTAAGTTTGTAAGTTCTAGCCGTGCAGTGTCTAGATCAGTGTTTCCATTTTTTTTCGTGCTATGCCCCACCTAAGCCTTTCTAAAATTCTTATGCCCCCCTAACGTATACACTTAATTGCCACACTGTTTTGTCGTAACCACAACAAAACCTGATCCTTTCATTAAAGTCTCTCATACTTTCCAGTCGTTGCCAAACACAACCTGGAACACAATTCATGTCTGTCCACCTCAAGGTCTGGGCAAAGAATGCCCTTTCTCCTCTTTCATCAGCATTAGGACTTCATTCATCTCTGTTCTCAGTGGTTCCAAGAATTGTTAATCCCACCCCAAGGGAAAAGGGTTATAAAGGAAATTTCTAGAAGGAAAGGGAAACAAAGAACAAAGTACTGTGTTCTAGATGCTTTTATTTGTGTTGTTGAATAGAAATAAAATGAGTTCAAGTAGAAGAAGTTGTGTAAATCATTCTGATGTGTTTTGCTACATATGCGGAGAATATACATTAAAAGAAAACAGAAAAACTATTAGTGACTTTGTAAAGAGATCTTATCTTGGATACTTTGGTGTTAAACTTGGTGATCAGGATAAAACCTGGGCACCACATCAGGTCTGTAAAACTTGTACAGAACATTTACAACAGTGGACTACTGAGAAAAGAAAAAGTCTGAAATTTGGCATACCGATGGTTTGGAGAGAACCCAAAAATCACTTCAATGACTGTTATTTCTGCCTTATAAATATTAATGGAATCAATCATAACAACCATAGCAAGTGGACTTATCCTGATTGAGTCTCTGCAAGACGCCCGGTCCCTCACTCATAGGAAGTGCCAGTTCCATCATTTCACCAGCTACCAGAGCTCTGTGAGGACGAGTATCCCTCTGATCCTAATGAAGGTGACTGTGATTACGAGAGAATGTCATCAATTCCTCAATGTTCAACCAGGATGAGTTAAATGACCTCACCAGAGATCTCAACCTGCCAAAAGAAGCTTCTGAAATTATTGGCTTCCAGGTTGAAGGAGAAAAATTTACTGGAGCAAGGAACCAAAATTACCTTTTATTGTACAAGAGAAAAGGATCTGCTACCCTTCTTTTCTCAACAAGACAATCTTGTGTTTTGTCATGAAATTAGAGGACTCTTGGAAAAAATGGGCCTTCTTGAATATTTTTCAGATGATTGGTGCCTATTTATTGACAGCTCAAAACGAAGTTTGAAATGTGTCCTTCTACACAATGGGAACAAATATGGTTCAATACCAATTGCTCACTCAACGAAAATGAAAGAAGAATATAACACCATAGCTCTGGTCTTGGAGAAGATAAAGTATCGTGAGATCAATGGGTAATTTGTGTAGACTTAAAAATGGTAAACTTTCTCCTTGGACAGCAAATTGGCTACACCAAATATCTTTGCTTCTTGTGCCTATGGGACAGCAGAGACAAAACACACCAAGTTAGAAAAGAGTGGCTTAAGAGAGAAAACATGGATGTTGGAGAAAAATGTCATTAACAACCCCTTAGTTGAACGAGAGAAAATCATCTTTCCTCCACTGTACATCAAGCTAGGCCTAATGAAGCAGTTTGTAAAGGCTCTTGATAAGAAGGGATCATGCTTTGCATATATAGGGGAAAAAATGCCTCAGTTAAGTATAGAAAAAATTAAAGCAGGAATATTTGACGGCCCACAAATAAGACAACTCATTAACGATCTTGCCTTTGTAAATTCGATGAATGAAGCTGAGCGAAAAGCCTGGACTTCATTTGTTGCAGTTGTCAGAAATTTTCTAGGCAAAC